CCGAACAAAGAGTCATCCTCAGGGTGGCACCTGGGCCTTTTCTCAAAGACGATCCGATTGAAGGTCACCTAGTTGTTTTTAAAGGTCTTTTCCTTACAATCGTTGAGCACTAGAGTCATCACGGCCCAACCCGGATCTGTTCCCTAGTGGCCAGAGTCACCACACATAGTGGAATAATCTCCATGGACTAAATACACACATGGTCCCAATAATCAATACACATCAGTTTTGCAAAAATTGGTGGTTCATCATTATAAACATGAGACCAAAATAAATAGTTTACAGTATGCCAAGTTCACACATGTTTCAGAAATAATTTGATTCAATTGATAATATAATAATTTATCAAAACAGTTTAGTCTTAAAACAACAATTTAATTTTCCAACAGTTCAGGGTAGGAGAACATTTATAAAAATACGTAGCATGAAACTACTCACCTAGAAACGAAATAATATAATTCTCGAATAGAGTGTAAAAGTCCAACTAGTGCCCTGAACCAAGTATAAAAACTACACGTCACAACTAATTTAAAAATACTAAAAAAAATAGGAACTAAGTAACCTCAACTAAAGTGCACTAACACGGCTCAACCCAACTCACCGTTACTCTTAAATATTACCTAAGTTCATGTTCTTCAAGGTTTAAAATCACCCAAGACATGGGTTCCAGTCAAAACTTAATTAATTGTGACTTTAAGATAAAACAGAATTTCAAATAAGCCTTCTCAACCTATTCTCTAACTTTGAAAATTACAAAACCCACTCCACGCTATTCGAAAAATTCCAAAAACCTCCAGATATCAACTAATATATCGTAAGTTTCAAACCCAATTGGTTTCACTTGATTTTCTTATCAAAATAATTTTCTACAATTTATTATATCCAAACAGGTTGTTTTCTGCAGCACTTTAAAGAAATTGACGGTTCTCTTAATATACACGAGCAATCAATGCAAGGCCAAAAAGGTACGAAACTAGACTCGTAACCGGTTCTAATGACACTAATTTGATAATTTTTGGATTTATACCCAAAGAGAACAACACTCCCGAATTTACTGTTTCGGACTGGTTTCCTGGACAGATTTGAATACCTCAATTTATATGGATTTCGACTCCCAAAAATTATGAAAAAAAATCAGATATGCAATTCAATATGTAAGTGATCTACTGTAAAAATTTCAGATTAAAATTCATCCGTTTGATATAGTTTCTTGATTTTTAAAGTTCGTGATTATGCGTAGAATTTTTTTAACTAAGAATAATACCCATTCTTTATACATGAATTTAACTCCTCAAATTTCTTAACAGTATATATATACAAAATATATAAACCTACAACCTCCATGAATGAATAAAATAATAATGGAATAAGGATAAAAACAAAACCAAAAGGAAGAAGAAAGATAAAGACCTACCACATACCCAAAAATTACTCCTTGTTTGCAATCCCCTCTTCTTTTCTTTTTCTTTTCTCTCAAACTCTCTCTCTCCCCGTGGCTACTGTGGCTGCTGTTATAGTGTTGATTAGGAACCCTAGTGTTGTTATATATTGTATTAGGCAACCTAGGGTTACTTTATATATCTAAACAAAAGGCCTTAAATTATTATCTCTTAATATTATTTTATTTTCTAACCCATTAATTTAAATAAAATATAACTATTACTAGATCAAAATATGCTTACTAATTTGGCACTTAAATTTATTTATTTATTTATTTTATATAATAAATCTTGCCTCTAAATTAAAGACTTTCACCATAATTTTATTTTAAGTTTAAAATTAATTAAAAGATCCTCCAATAATATTTAATTTGCACCTTAGAATTCACCACCAAAATATTTGAGATTGTAATATTATTATTTAATTATTTACTTAATTTTTATATTCGGGTTCTCACATGTTGGTTGTTGATGGTGATGAAATAATTACATTCTGAACATAATGTTTATATTCACATTCTAATATCAATGTCAATATTCACCTCCTGTTATCAATGGAATATGATGTAGATATTAACAAAGTTGTTAGTATTGTTGCTTGTTGATGAAAAGCCCCTAATCTTGAATGGTTGTCAACCCCTTTTTTGGTTCAATCTGAATTTTAATGTACACAATGTCAATATTTACATCAGATTGTTAGATATTGATAATGACTACAAACCAATTGTAAGCCTTACATCAATTTGTACACATCTTCCATAACCATTATACACACCTAAATTTTAAATTCTAACAGTAACAACTTTGCATCTTCAGGGTGAATTGCGGGCCCGCAGTGTGTTACATCATCTGGGCGCATGTATACCGTGAGGAAATTGTTGACAGCCTTAATCGCTTTAAATGGTGTCAAATAAGAGACTCATTGTACACATTTTTCTGAATCACACAAAGACAGTGCAATATGAAAACCTATAGGTAGGGGGTGTCCACCTGTAATTGTTATCCATAATTGTTATCCACATTTAAGATAATTTAGTATCAATAGTTTTGACATATTGGAGCAGACTAGCTTAAGGGTAAATCAATTCTGTATCAATGCTTGTACTCCAATTTTTCATTCAATATATGTATATGCATTTTGAGGCCTATTTCGTGTTGATCATTCACGTGGATGTGAATATTACTTAAAATATTATTGTAACACAATGTAACTGGTGTGAATATCATATTTCTTAACACATAAGTGAATATTCGCAGCAAATAATTTGATGATGTTAATAGTTACAGATGATGTGAATATTCATATCATATGCTTTTATGTTGTAAATGGTAACAGACATGTCAACATTTACACTGCACCCATGCATACATCATAATATACATAACAACATCCCGTTTTGCTATCAGAAAACGCTCACAATGACAATTCGTAATACAAATCTGAATATTCACATCAAATGATTTGGTAATGTGAATCGTTACAATGATATAAATATTCATGTTAACTACTTTGATGTTGTCAGTGGTAACAAGAATGTGAATATTCACATCAAATAGCATATTGCAGATGATGTGAATATTCACATCATATGTTTTCATGTTGTAAATGGTGACAAACATGTCAATATTCACACCGCGCCCATGCATGTATCGTAATATACACAACAACATCTCGTTTTGTTAGCAAAAAACACTCATAATGACAATTCATAATACAAATCTGAATATTCACATAAATGATTTGGTAATGTGTTGGTAATGTGAATGGTTACAGTGATATAAATATTCATGTTAACTACTTTGATACTGTCAATGGTAACAAGAATGTAAATATTCACATCACACACATGCATGCCTCACAATATACATGATCAGGAAAAACCCATATCCCATATAACCAACCAAAATTTAATTTAGATAATGATGTTGAAAGCAAGAAATAGATCATACAATCATTCATATACATTCACATTCTTAATGCGATGTGAATATTCACCACATTTAAAAAAACAGAGCTATAGCTCAACCATATAACCAGCCAAAATCCATAACCCCATACAACCAAAAAAAACTTGCATGTCCATCAATTCTAGAAAATGAAATTGGAAGCAAAAAACAGAGCATACAACCCTTCATATAAATCCAATCACAAATGACATGCATCCATTACATACTAACCTTAAGACAATGTAATCAAACAAAGCACAGTATTCGTCTTCTCCAAATTCAAAAATCTCAATCTCTCAAAAAATAAAAAAGCCATCACACAAATCCTCCTCTGTATCTTCATAATTTTCGTCTCCATCTTCATTATTATTACTATTATTAACACCTCTTACAATTCCACCATTACAGCAATCCAAATCAAACCAAGCACTCCTCATCTCTTTATAAAGAAAGCTACATTACTGTATCAGAAACCTCATTCTTCACAATTCTAACACTTATTTCTTAAACTTCCAAACAATATAAAATGTGAACATTCACATTGATTGACAGAAAAATAAAAAATAATAGCAGCAATAGAACTATAAATCCAAAAAAAAAACTCAATCTCTCTGAAAATAAAAAATTATCACCCACATCTTCAACTCCATCATATCACTATCATTAACAACCCGTATAATTTCACCATTCCACCAATCCAAATCAAATTAAACCCACCTTCAAAGAACAAGTATTCCAATCCGTCTCATCTTTCCCTTTGATTCAATCTAGTTGAATGTGGGTTTTAGTCAATCTACTGAACAAGTTTGTAAGCCATTACCCCTGTTTCTTTGATTCAAATCCTTTTCTCTTCCTTTGATTTCTGGATGAAATCATAACTATGGAAAAAAAAAAAAAAAAAAACAGAGCATAAACTATGAATCGTCATCTTCTCTTCTATAGGAATGAAACCGTATCGCAATGAAACACTATCGCGAACTATGTGCCGTCGTCTTCTCTCTTATAGAAACGAAATCGTACCACAACAAAAACAGAAGGAAACATGTATATTATTTTATATGTAATATATATCAACATATAGAAAAAATAGTATAATAGTCCAATAAAAAATATAAATCAGGAAAAAAGGATCTTATGAAATAAAAGTATAAACACATGGGACTAATTAGGTTATAATTTTTCTTTATGGACTTATTGGGATAGAACATCTCTAGATGAGATTTATTAATAAAAAACTCTTTAATTTAATATTCACTAATTAAAACAGTGAAATTCTGTATTTTTTGTTCGAATTTTTAGAAATAGCTTGACAAAATTTCAAATAATAAATGGTGTGTAACAAAAATGTTAGAGGTCCCAAAAATTTTATCAAAAATTTTATCAAATGTCTCACTGGGACCCACATGAGACCTACATTGTGTGAGTCCCACACCTATGTGAAATATTTAGTAAAATTTTTAATAGAATATTTAGAATCTCTAGCGTGTGTAAAATATTCCAAATAACCACTCCCAATCAAAGGCTCGATTCGCCTCCACGTGTCAAATGTTCAGGCAACAGTTGCGCTCTCGCAATTATATATATCACAACAAATTAGTGTATCCCAGTTCCATTCCAGCACCATCCGCTGCTCTTCAACCTAATATTCTTAAAAAAAAAAAAAAAAAATTAAAAACCTAAAAAATTAAAAATAAAGAAGATGCTAACGACGTCGTCTTCATCTCCGGCGGATCTTAGCGTCCCGCTGATCCCACCGTCGAAAAAAGCCGACGAACCGGTGGCCGGAAAACAGAAGCTGTGCATCGACGACATGTTGAACCGGTTCTGCGGCGAGTTCGGGGTCTGGCAATTAAGGCACTTCGTGTTGACGAGCCTGGCTTGGGCTCTCGAGGCCTTTCACACCATGGTCATGATCTTCGCGGACCGTGAACCGGAGTGGAGGTGCTTGATCCCAGGTTCTTGCTCGACCGGTTCTGGAACTGTTTGTGGGTTAGAACCCGGTTCGTGGGAGTGGATCGGCGGATCGGCGAGCTCTACGGTGGCGGAGTGGGGGTTGATTTGTGGACAAAAGTATAAGGTTGGGTTGGTCCAGTCTCTCTTCTTCGGCGGCTGCATGATCGGTGAGTTGTCCGATTCTCTCTCTCTCTCTCTCTCTCCTGTTAATTTTAATTTTTTATTTTATGGTAATGTTTTTTAATTCAACAAAATTTAATCACAAAATCAAAAACAAATCTCGAGTTTTTTTTTCCATGGAGAACTTATTAATGTGTGAATTACATTGCATGTCAGAGTTTTTTTCAAATTTTAAATGGTATTGTGTTTAATTCTGTGATTCGACTTTGGCGTGTTTGGAAGTATTTTTATTTTTTTTTTCACTAAAAGGCAAATTAATTATAAAATTAAAAAAAAATTCAAATAAAATATCACATCAAATCTCATAATTATTTTATTTTTTTTCTCATAAATGTTATATCCAATTACAAAAAAATTTAACTATCTTTCTAAGCATAAAATTTTTTTTCTCTAATAATATCTTACAATTAAAAAAAATTTACAAAAAAATTCACTTCTCATACACCCATTTTGTATAGAATAACTATATTTGTGGATTTTGCCTTGTTTGGGTTTTTATTTTTTTATTTGACTTTTTATTTTAAAATTAGAGTGTTGGTTTTATGAACATCAATACAAATGTTTTTATTACTATATTTTAATAGTTTTTGCTCAAAGGGGAATCTTGGAGTTCATGGCGATGGATATACTGTTTTATTGCTTTTTTTAGTTTTGAGTGATTATGTTGCCTCGTTCTCGGGTTGGTAAAGGATTTAGAGGATAATGTCGTTGGTCTTATATTTTTTTTAATATGGTGGAATTAAATGTATTATTTTATGGAATAATTGGTGTTAATAAGTTCATTTATAGGAGAAATATGGGATTTATCTCACTGTCGCTAGGTCACTACACGCCGACTACTGGCGGCATCAGAAAATTTATTGAAAAAGTTGCCGAAAACGTCAATGGTCAGGCTATCAGTGATAGTAGTGGTGACAGGAATAGGTAAGTAGATTAGGTGAATATATAAGTGATATGTAAATAAGTAAGCCTCCGTTTGGGAAGTGGGTTGGTTTTTTAATTTTTTAGCTTTTTTGACTATTTTAGCCTGGGTTAAAAAGCTTGGTTTGGAAAGAGTTTTTTGGTTTTTTTGACTTTTTTTGTGAGAGAAGAATGTAATGATTATAGGTTGGATGTGATGTTTTGTTTGTTATTGCTAAAATAGCCTATTTTGTTTTTTGTGGCTAAAATAATTAAAAAAGCCTGAAAAAATTCTTGCCAAACACAGGCTTAAGTGAATAGGATGGAACACAGCTTTAATAACTTCAGTTTTAGTTAGTATAGTCGATGGCACTAAGCAGACATATACACATTGCGTCAATGGAGTACAGATTAGTTTTCATCATCTAGGTTCTCAAAATCAGCATATAGAATGGTTTCCTTTACCTTAAGTTTGGATTGGAAATACCCAACAGAATCATCATTTCATCTTAGGACTTAATTCCATACTTAGTTTACAAGGCGGCATGTTTTTCAGCCAACACAACATTAATTTCTTCAAGCGAAAAGTACATACGCCTACAGCATATGTCCTTAGCACTATAGCCTATTCATCAGAGTTGCGGGCGAGTGTGACAGTACTATAAGAATAGATTAAGTGAATATATAAGTGATATGTAAATAAGTAAGTGAATAGGTAAATGATATTTACACAAATAAATAACATGGATGGATGGTCAATAAGTGGGAATATGATTTTTAAAAATTATTTTGTTATTTTGGTTTTAAAAGAATAGGCTTTGAGATTATTGCTCGAAAATTTTAAAATTAGATTTATGACTTGAGTTTCTTATATTATTATCTTTTTGGAAATTAATAATAGGATTAATTGGGTCTATGTTTTTATTAGATTCGATTAATAATTGGATTTAACTTAGAAAGGAAGAAAATCTCACGGAGGTAGGAATGAAGAATAAAATCATGCAAATTAATTATACTAACAAAATATCAAAATTTAGGTAGGCTCCGTTTGGGAAGAGTTATTTTGGCTATTTTAGTCACAAAAAATAAAATATACTATTTTAGTCACAACAAACAAAAACATATATTTAACCCATAATAATTACATTCTTCTCTAAAAAAGTCAAAAAAGTCAAAAAGTCCTTCCCAAACCAAGCTTTTTAGTCCAGACTAAAATAGTCAAAAAAATTTAAAAAGTCAAAAAGTCAACTCACTTCCCAAACAACACTGTAATTTGATTAAAACCTATTCAGACAAGGAATATAATTCCATTAACACATCAACTATATGTTTCAAGTAGTTACAATGATGGTAAAATAAATTCTCACAAATAACAAAGAGGAATATTACATAAAGAATAAAATTTTAACACATTCAAAAAAAATTTAAGTTGTTTTTGGTTAATGAATTTGTGTAGATATATAAAAATGATAAGTGAAATAGTGTTTGGATTGAAAAAAAAAAAAAAAAAAATCTAAAACAAAATTTTGAAAATTTTAAACCAAGTACAAGTCCATTAAATACCTCTTTCCACAAATCTTGTACAAAATTTAAACAGTATGAACCAAATACAGGTCGATTAAATACATCTGATGTAGGACAAGATTTTCAAGACAAGATTTTCAAAATTTTTATATTTTTAAGTTTTAATATTTTTGATATATTATTAGGATTATTGTAATTTACTATAAATAATTTAGAATTATTAGGTTTCTTAATTTTATTATTTTAGAATTAAATTTTGACTAGGATTTTAAATAGTTTAGAATTCTAGTTTCCTATTTTCTTAGGTTTCCTAATTTGGTTTATATAAGTTTCCTAATTTATTTTAGAATTACTTTTCCTACAAGTATTAGGTTTAGTTTATTATAAATAGGTATATAGGTCTCATAGTAAAGACAATTTTTTATTCAATTTTTATTCATTCAATCAATAATATTGAGATATTTTATCTTCCTTGTGGATTCAAGATTCTATTTTTTTCGTGGATTCGAGAGTCCATTTTGTCTACTAGAATGATATCTAGTCCCCATGTATTCCGTTGCGTCAAGTGGTATCAGAGCAAGGTTTCTCCGGGCTCGATGTCATTCATCGAAAGATGAAGCACAAGCTTTATTGACGATGATCGTAGAGAAAGATCTAATAGGATTCGAGTCAATGGACTTGCCCAAGGCCAACCTGTTAGTCACAACATTAATAGGAACCACGCTATGGGATTTGTCCAAGGTCAGCCTATTAATCACAACGTCTTAAGACGATCTTCTCGTTATCAATATGATAGTGAGGACGAATCTGAAGATGAGTTATTCGAAGATTATGGTGGTGAGTATCATTCGGTAAGGTGACAACGAAAATTCGGTGATGTGTTCAATAACAATAATTGTATCAATCATGACTTTTCAAATCATCAAGTACCACTAGAAACTCCCTATTTTAATGTTTCTTGTCATGCCGAGGATTTTATTTATTGGTTTCGCAAAGTTAACAAATTCTTTGAGTGTATGGAAATCTCTGAAGAAAAGCAAGCCAAATATGTTGCACGTAAGTTAGAAGGTTATGTTTTTACATGGTGGAAACAATTGCAATATGATTGAAGGCGACAATGCAAACAACCTATTAGGACGTGGCATAAGATGAAGAAGTTGATGAGTTCTAGATTCCTTCAAACAAATCATGGGCAAATATTGTATCTACAATATCAAAGAAAACTTGAATCAAAACAGTTGTTCCAAAGTAATTTTGATTCACAATATTCTTCGCAATTCAATAATTATTATGGAATTATGAATACAAATTATTCGAGGAATATGACTATGGTTCTGCCAAGTTTGGGTCAATCAAGTCTTGTAGGTCAACAAATTTGTCTCAACCACACATTGAAGAAGAAAAGATTTTGAAATATCAAAATGTTTCAAAATTTTGAAGACCCAAACAAACATTCAATTGAAGTAGATAATCAAGTTGATTGCAACAATGGCGAGAACATTGAAATTGATAAAAGAGATGTCACTGAAATTACTTTGATCAATAAGTTTGAAGAAGACGATGAAGAGGTGAAGCAAGAGAAAAACGTTGAAGGTAACCAAGAGCTTCTAATGACAGAACTATGATCTCTTGATTATTATGATAGTTATGAGATCGCAAAAGAAGAAGATCTAGTTGAACTCAATGAAAAAGAAGAAATAAAAGATGAGGTAATAAAGTTGACATGTGCACTAAAGAAGTTGATTGAGGATGCAATTGATGTTCAAAAGATGATAATTGAATGTCCAACTGAATCTAAGACAGAGCAAAGTCTAAAGAGTATTCAACATCAACATAAAATACCCTTCGTTGATTTTCTTGGTGTTGAGAAATTTAATTTGATTTTCAATGCTTGTCTTATTAATCTTGTCAAACAATTGAAGCATATAGAGAATAACTTTCAAAAAGTTGACTTCTCTCCATATAATGTTCGGAAGAGAGACAAACAACTGAAGTATTCCAAGTATCTTTTTATTTGGGATGGACGATGGCAGATCTCTAATATGAACTCGAAGACGAGTTCTTTCAAAGAAGAAGAGTCTGATGTAGGACAAGATTTTCAGGACAAGGTTTTAAGAATTTTTATATTTTTAAGTTTTAATATTTTTGATATATTATTAGGATTCTTGTAATTTAGTATAAATAATTTAGAATTATTAGGTTTTTTAATTTTATTATTTTAGAATTAGATTTTGACTAGGATTTTAAATAGTTTAGAATTCTAGTTTCTTATTTTCTTAGGTTTCCTAATTTGGTGTATTTAAGTTTCCTAATTTATTTTAAAATTACTTTTCTTACAAGTATCAGGTTTAGTTTATTATAAATAACTATCTAAGTCTCATAGTAAAAACAATTTTTATTCATTCAATCAATAATATTGAGATATTTTTTCTTTCTTGTGAATTTAAAATTCTATTTTTCTCGTGAATTCGAGAGTTATTTTCGTCTACTAGAACGATATCTAGTTCCCGTATATTCCGCTGCATCAACATCTTTCCAAAAATCTCGTAAAAAAGGGGACCAAAATCAACAAAATCTTTGTGCTTGTAATCATAGAAAGACTTTCATTCAAATTAATTAATTTATTTTTTACTTTGTAATGTTAAAAATAAAAGCTAACAACTTGTTAAATAGAAACAAAAAAGAGGATCGAGACTACTGAAAATATCTACCCAACAATCTCATGCTGCCCTGACATGTTTCATTATTTACGATAATGCTATGTAGTTCAAATTTTGTGATTTAAAAGTGACTTAAATGGTCAAAACGACATTATTTTGAGTACAGAACAACATAAAAATGGCCAAAACGACGTCATTTTTGCCATTTAAGTCACTTTTGAGTCACAAAAATTGAGTTACGTGACATTTTTCTTTTTTAATGATAATTACAACAAAAAAAAGTAAATAAATAAATTTTTTTAAAAAAAAAGTAAGGAGAGAGAGAGAGGGGGGGATGAGTGCAACAACGATAGAGACCACTAATTTTGAAACTCTAAAAAGACCACTAATGACATGGCACTCAATAAAAAAAGAAAAAAAATACAACACCAAGGCTAAAACATCAAATCATTTCTGGTGAGACTCACTGCCACATCATTAGTGATAGTACTAATTAGTGCTCTTACTCATTTTCCGGGATGAGTGTGACCAACACGTCTCTGAGGAGGTTTGAGCGATAGTGATAAATGTGACAGAGTATCCAGATGCTTTGGAGAAAAGTTAGAAAGTGCAGCGACCACGTTTTTCACTTTTCTTGGGGGGTGAATCACTTTTTTCATTTTTTGTATTCTATTACTAGCCGGCAATGGAAGTTGAATGGTTGAGAACTCATCAAAATCAAATATGTAATCACAGTTTGATTAAACAATCTAAGGTTGGTTTTTTAGTTTTTTAATTTTTTTTTGATTATTTTAGTTTAGGATTAAAAAAATTCATTTTGAATAAATTTTTGGTTATTTTAATTTTTGTGAGAGAAAAAATAAAATGATTATGATTTAGATGTGACATTTTATTTTAATGTACTAAAAAATTTATTTTATCTTTTTGTGACTATTTTAATTAAAAAATCTCATTTTAACTTATGTGAAACGAAGGCTAAGTGGAGATGCCCATTTTTTCTTATGTGATAATAAAATTTTGAAATTTGAAGCATAATTTATTTTAATAATATTAATTTATATAGGGTTGATCTTTTTTTTATAGAGATTAAGGGATGCTATTCGATAACACCTTTAAAATTTATAAATTCATTTTAGTTAGACACGAGAATCTTTTGTAAAATTTATTGTTACATTGTATTTAATGCATTGTTAATCACATGATTATAAACATTGGATATGAAAAATCTTTGATCTATTAGATCAACTCTAAAATGAATGTTTATTAGATTTTTTTGTTTATTTTCCAGTCTGTAGAAATAGAGAAATGAGATGTATAACACAACGATAATTTGAATCCAAACATCACGCTAGGCAAAAGAGAACATAATTATAGATAATTATACATAAAAAAAAAATATTCTTGTAATTACACTGGAAATTTGTAAAACATTCGGGAATTACATGTATGTAGTGTAATTTCTTAATAACCATAACAATGTTTTTTTCTCTAAATTAATGGTCTTAATAAACATCAAACATAGCTTGCAAAGGAGTTATTTTATGCAGTTTATGACTTGTTCATAGCTTCTTCTTATTTTTAATTTTGAGAGTTTGTGTCAAACTATTTAGTTGATTTTATCCTTAGCTCTTATTCGCATAAATAACTTAAATAAGTTGAAAAGTTAATTATTTGAAATCTAGAGAATTAGTGTTTTTGATTTTTGCTTTTTGATGATCAATTTTTAACTTAAAATACTCAATAAGTGCAAAATTTAACGGACGAGAAATTTTACTATCCCTTATTTATATTCTATGATTTTTTAAAATTTTTATGTTTTTTGTGGCTATGAATAGTTTTGTTAAAAGTTACACAAACCCTTATCTATGTTTTGTGCAATTTTTTCTATCATGAAAAAGGTTTGTTGAAAGTCACAAAGCATGTGAAAGGAACGTGAACCTCGTGATGAGCTAAGCGACTGCTATAATGTCGGTGTTTGAAAAGTGATTTTTTATGTATGTTTTTTTAATTATAGGATATTATTGGAGAAAATTGTTTTTATGTTTGGGAAGATGGTTAGATTTTTTTGTGATTTGATGTGATGTTTGTGAGAGAAAAAGTGAAATAATTATAGGATTTGATGTGATATTTTGTTTGAATTTATCTTTTTTTTTTTAATTTTGTAAAAAATTTGTCTTTTTATCTTTTTTTTTTTAATTTTGTAAAAAATTTGTCTTTTGGTTGGAAGATTTGGGGAGGGATTTAGAAAGGGAAAGGAAAAGGAAAAAGGTGATGAGACCCACACCGCCGATGATGAAAAAAATAAAAAAAAAACCTAAAAAAAATTGTGGCCAAACACCGCCGATGATGAGACCCACCAAGACCAGTGTGGGCGTGAGTTATTAATTCTAAAATTTTATTTATATTTCATGCTTTGGTTGTTGTGAATAAATAGGACTTGGCCACGTTGGACCATTTTGTTTTTTTGCTGGTATACAAGTATGAGATAAAGGGCCTTTTGGGATGAAAATAAAAAGATAGTTTTTAATTTTTTATTTATTTTGAGTTACATTATTTTTTATATTTTTTATTTATAAAAAGATAAAATAAATTAAAAAAATAAAAAATTAATTTTTTATCAACTTTTCAAAACACTCCAAAAGTGTGAGACTATAAGGGAAATTTACTTGTGATCGTTCTAATAATTTTGAGTTATACTAGGGAGCTAAATAAGTTATTAATTCTTTTATTAAATCTCTCATATGAGTATAGAATTTATATATATGTAATTTGTATGGATTTTATATCTGTACGAGAGATTTGATAAAAAATTTAATAATTTAATCAAAATTGATAGCATTTTTTTTTTGATACTTTTAGCTAAGCGTATTTATGGATGACTATTGTTCTGACAATTAAAATTTTCACAATTGACTTCTAGTGGATTTTATTGAGTGCCCTTGAAGCAATTCTAGTTGGTGCTCTCAGTTAGTAATTATTAGTTTAAATTATAGGATTTAGGCAGTTTTGTCTTAAAATTTTAAGAGACAATGACTTCATTTGGCAAAGTCAGTTAGGGTTAAAATAGTTATTAAAAGATAAAATAAGTTAAAAAATTAATAAGATAAAATATTATATCTAAATTATAATCATTTTATTATTTTTTACAAAAAAAAAAAAAAAGAGAATTTTTGTAAACATAAAACAGAAAAATGACAATGTTAACAAATGACCCCAATATTCATTTTCATTCTTTAGGAGCTTCTTGCCCATAATGGAATCCATCTTCAGGTCTTCGCAAATGTTTGTTAGAACCTAAATTATTTTGTATCACAACATAATATATGTAGGATATGGCACCACGGATAATAACATGGTAATTATTTGTCTTCTTGCTTTGTTGTAATGCCTACTCTCTCTCTCTCTCTCTCTTGCACGTGCGCACACACACAAATGCTTCATGACACTCACTAGATTGGTGTCACGGTTCATATTTCACTTGAATGCCTGATTGATGTGGTATAAAATGCTACCTAGACAGTGTTCTCTACTTTATTAATAATAACTGTTTGGAATTGTCTTTGTTTATTCTCCTCTTTACTTCTACTTCTACATAAGAATTG